TTCGAATGTAAAGGCTCTACGTTTGTTAAAAGAAGAATCAAATGTAGAGTATAAGGAACCATACTTTAAGGTAAATTCAAAAAAAATTGTATGTTTATATGATAGTCCCCATTTATTGAAATCATTAAGAAATGCTCTCCTTAAATATACGATTTATTATGATGAAACCAAGAAAGCTAAATTTATGTATTTGAGACAAGCTTATCAATTTGATAGTACTCGAAGATTTCAAACTTTGCATAAAATCCGAGAACCCTTTCTTTACGTGAACAGATATAGATTATTAAAGATGAAAGTGTCAATTGCAGCAAAAACACTTAGTGCCAGTATGGCAGCTGCACTTGAAACTCTAATAGATTCAAAAGAAAATATTCCTTCAGAAGCAATCGAAACGGCTTTCTTTGTAAAAGACGCAAATGATTTATTCGACAGTTTCAACTCCACTGGTATTAATATGCGTAACAACCACTGCAATCCAAAGCTAAGATGTGCTTTAACAAAGAAATCTGGTCATTTTGATTTTTGGAATAAAATGGAAAAAAAAATCGAAAGTTGGAAATTTTATGACGAAGTACGTGGTCAATTCAAAACAACTATGCCCTTTAAAGAAGGTTGGTTAAATAACATTCGTGGAATTAGACTTCTTTGGCAGATGTGTGAAAAAAATGAATTCAAATTTTTGCGAACAAGAATGTTGAATCAGGATCCTCTAGAAAATTTATTTTCAGTGATACGACAATACGGTTCAGGAAATAGTAATCCATCGTGTTTTCAATTTATATCGGCGTTAAAAACAAGTAATATTTTGAATAATTTGATAGCATATCAAGCATATGGTAAGAATTGTGAAGAAGATGTAGGAAAACTTCTCGATAATCTTAGAATATTTTTATCCTCGTCATCAAAACCAACAAATTTTCAGTTTACAGAAAATATCAATGAGTTGGTAAATTTAGAAAATTCTAGCTCAACTAATAGAGCTGCATTTAAAGATTTATATGATCTTCAGGCTATTACATATGTTTGTGGCTTTTTAATAAAAAAATTAAAAGCTATCACATGTAAAGACTGTAAAAATTGTATAATTGCACAAAAAACCGAAGAACATCATATTTTCACTCTTTACAAAAAACAGGATCAAAAATTAAGGTTGAAATATGCTACAAAAGAATTTGTAACATGCTTAGCTGAGATTTACGATACCATAGTCTTCTTTTTAGATAATTTTGGAGAAGTTCCAAATATTGCAAGAAATTTAAAAGAACATATAACAGCAACAATTAGCTTTACTTGGATTAACTGTGACATTCATATTGCTGATTTAAGAACGGAAATTATTAATTTGGCAGTGCGTCTAATAATAAATAAAAAATTGACCAATCTGCAAAAACAATTTGAAGTACATAATCGTAGAAGAATTAATAATTCAAATAGGTTTTAAAATTAACACCTACCCGTAGTTTCAAGAGTTTTTTTAAGCAGTTTGTAATTAAATTATTTTTTTTAGGTATTTCGAAATGAAATTGTTTTTCTTTGAGAGTTGTTTTGTAATTTTGTCATTGTTATCAAATATATGTTTTTCATTACTGAATTTAGTTTCATTTTTATAGAATTAAAATTGTAATTAAAAATAAAATTACTACTATAGTAATTATAATCTAGTAATCAGTGGATTTAATTCATGCAGGAGCTCGAGCAGCGCTGTAATCGCCACATTAAATCGTAGTGGTTTTTGAACGTCTTTCTATTTGCTTAATGGTCTGTGATCCCCTCCAAAAAATCGATGACGTCAGCTCGAAAGTTTGCCGAATAAATCCTATCTAAACTGTACAAAATATGATGAGTCTGTACTTGTGATTTTTCACTCCATTGATATTTTTTGGATTTGCATATACAGGGTGACTCAAAAAAATTAATGAATGCGTAAATTTATTTTATTGATTTAATCAGGAACTACAAAACCGAATGCTGTGAAATCTTGCAGATGTTTTAAGGTTATAAAGAGCATACTAAATGTTTAGTCAAAATATATTTGCTTATGCCCTCCAAAAACTTGATGACGTCAGCTGAAAAGTCTGCCGAATAAATCATATCTAAAATGTACAAAATATGATGAGTCTGTACTTGTGATCTATCACTCCATTCATATTTTTTGGATTTTCATATACAGGGTGACTCAAAAAAATGAATGAATGTATAAATTTATTTTATTGATTTACTCAGGAACTACAAAACCGAATTCTTTGAAATCCACTGCGAAAAAGAAACGTAATAAGCATGCAGTCGTCACGTTTCCGACAGCGAGGGAAGTACTGTCTAAACTCTTTAGATCAATTTTTTAATGGAAGTAAAACATAGAAGCCTGCCGTTGCTATGATAATTCATCAACACAAGTGGTTTGTATTAATTTTCTCGGTGTGTTGTGGTAATTTGTGTGCTCGAACAATGGAATCGGACAGCGATGAAGATCTCTAGTGCACCCCCGAAAAAATTGTCAAGACGGAAAATACGGCTACATTACAGCCATTCCATGATAACGGACAGGACATGTGGATGCAAAATTATTTGTTAATTTTGCATTTCTTACAGTATTATTATTATAATAAATAAAACAAAATATAGAAATATTAGCAGATTTAATAAAGCCTTTTGATATTCGCTTATGGATGACACGTGCTGCTGTTGTGACCAATGAAAAAATTTTGAAAAGTGATAACGGATGGGACACGATATTACCCACCGTGAAAACTTTAGTAAATTTAATTGGAATTTTCTGCGAATTACTGTAAGTATTAACTATGAAATTGACAAATGTGAAATAAACTAAGATTGAACAATTGCTTGGCACAATATTTTTTTTTGATAGCTCGTAGAATGTTATTGTATCGAAGTTTCATAACAACTAGTGTTGATAACGGACAAGACATAACGGATGGTACAAACAAAATCAATTTTTTTTATTCAAACGTAAACTATTTAAAAACACGACAAGTATCAAAATTAGGTACATACATACTTCATTTTGAGTATTGCAACAGATATGCTCTAAAAGTTCTTTCCCAGTTGCGGGAAAAATTGGTATCAGTTCATGAAGTGTTTCAACAATAAAATTAAAATTTGCGTGATATTTGCATACGCACACATTATGAGGCGTTTCAGAAGACAATAACACATGTTGAGGTCTCATGCTGTAGAACTTACTTATATGTATCTTGCAATCTGGATATTCGTCTTTATATAAAACAAATGCTTCTTTTACTGCCATTACCATATGACGTTTTTGAAAGACTTCTCTTTTACCGGAAGATACGTTTTTAACACTTTTCGTGTCTCTTTTTCCGGGCGCCTGTCTGCTGATATCATCACGAAGATAAAAGTCGACGATTTTTTTTTGTTCTTCTTTCGTAAGGGCCCGCGCTGAATTAGTTGCAAATGTAGATGCTTTTGAGGTTGCAGGTTGTATTTGAAAAAGCAGTTGTTTAACTACTGCCTCTCGTTTACGAGGACTCGCGGGCAGCACGCTTTTTACTTTCTTCACAGCTTTTCCCAATGATTGAGGACACTTATATGGAAATACTGCTTCTTTTTTTTGTTTTGCTGTTTCTTTTAGTTTTAATCTGTAGATTCTTTTACGTTCTGCTGCTTTTTGTTTTTTAATTTTATGTAGAGTAGGATTTTTCACAAGAAAACTTCTTTCAACAACCCTTTCTGCGCGTTTTCTTTGGGCATCTTTTTCGCGGTACCACTTTGCTTTTACAGGATCCGCGTTAATACTCTGCCGGTAGCGACGCATTGCTTGCCGTACTTTTTCTTTACGTACTACCTCGACACTCATACCTAGAATAACATTAAATGAAGAAGCGTCATGATAAAATAATAGTTAAGGAAAAATGTTTTTAAAGATCAGAATTATGATAATGGACGGGACAGATTTAAAAAAATCAAATTATTTACTTGTTGTTATTTAATTTTTAAGTGATTAAAACTTTGAGAAGAACTTGTACTTAAATAGAGAAAAGCATTAACAAATTGATTTAAAAGTCGGAGTTTTACTCAAGTTCTCAACTTATCCGCGTTTTTGATAACGGATGGGACATCTATGCATTGAAAGTCTAAAATTAACGTATTTCACCCCAATACTTACCGTTTGTGATAACTATTAACACAAAACTGATTAAACTGAGACACTTTTCAATAACTTATTATAAGGTTATGCAAGTGTCAACATCAAATCAAATCACAGCACATTTAGTTCGGATAAATTATTTAAGATTTAACATTGATACAATGTTTGTCATATTTAAGATATTTTAACGTAATTATTTTTTAAAATATTTCATACTGAATACACGTACAGTAAAATATAAACCTTTAAGCACAATATCCATTACAGATATTCGAATAATCGCAAAGTCAAAATGTAGCCCCAAAATAGTTTCCGTTATGGAATGGCTGATTTAAGATCTATTTTCCAAAATAAATAGTTGAAGTTGGTGGGTGTTGAGTTTTGTTACGAACGCGAAAAAAATTTTGTATGCGACTCGTGAGTAAAGTGGCTTTTTTTACTCGGCGGATTTGCGCACTCGCCTTCAGTTCGTGCGGCAAATTTTCCTTGTCGTAAAAAAATACACTTTACTCACTAGTTGCATAAATAACTATTATTAATTTATTAGTGTCCATGGGGGACTGAGGATCCATGGGCGGGTAACCTTAATTGGGACAAAACTTACACAATTTTTAACCTGATAATTAAAAAGTTCCTGACAAAACTCTATTAAAAAAAGTTGTTGAGTTTGATGAGCTCTATACAGTTATAGAGCTCATCATTACATTAATTTCAATCAGTATTAAAATTAATGTACTTATTTCTGAGACATTCTGTATAATGTGTAATTTGAAACATTGAATTTGAAAAACGCGCCAACCGTATGATGGCGCTGAATTTTTACAGCTCACCAATCGCACTCGGAGTTCAGGGTTTTTGTCTTTTCCTTCTGTTATCTGTCGTCAGTGTCGTCATGCGTCATGCGTCGTCTTTTTTTTATTTCAGGCTAAGTGCGTGTAATGTGTGTCTGTGCGATGTAATAGTTTTGGTTTTGTGGTTTTGGTGAAGTTAATTGAAAGATGGACTTTACAGAGAATTATTTATCTTTACACTGTTTAAGCACACAAATATTTGACCTGTAATAGTTATCAAATTGACGAACAACAATGTGCCTGTGTTTATGTTCTTACAATTCTAAGAATTGTTTTGATTATATGTAGTTGCCAGCAGTAATAATTAATTATAATTAACAATTAATACCATGATCAACATTACTTGTTGAATGGTTTATTTGTATGTACAATAATTCAAGAAATCGTGTGCAATAATGACGTCGTTACAATAGAATTTAAATTTTTTTGTGATATTTTTCTTAGAGTTTGCAAACATTACTCTATCGTGTTATCAAACCAAGATTTGACACAATAATAAAGCTATTTCAACAAAGAATCACGAAGTAACAAATTATGCTGAACTACACATGAACCTATTTCAGATGAAATACTCAGAAACATGTTTTCCTATTTTCGTGATTGTTGCGTGCGTAACAACACATGGAGGTTAGTTTTGTTTACATTTTGTGAGGTTCCATTTGTTACATACTTATTTCAGTACAGACAAATAGTCCTTTGCTCTTGTATTCTACAAACAAGGAGATTCGACTTGCAAATACAACAAGAAATAGCAATAATAAAATTGTTTCTACAACACTTCTTAAAAATTTTACTGAAGGACCAGCTATTGATTATCATTATGAGCAACAGAAGCTTTGTTGGACGAAGCATGACCTTGAAAGCATTTTTTGTGATGACTTTGATGGAGTGGCTACAAAAAATACGGTGAGTTTTTGAATATGCTCACAATAAAATCATTGTTGACACTGTACTAACACCTTTCTGAAATAAAATTTGGTGGGCTTTTATTTTTGACTTCCTTATTTTGTGGTGTATTTTAGGGAAAAAATATTTTTTTTTTGTGACCTATTGACTTGGCATGTAGAAATTACACAGTGAGCCGTTAAATACACTGCCCCACAAAATTTTATTTTGCACAAGTGGAAATCATACGTATGAACTGGCCTGCACTAACTCTGGAGTTCAATCCCATTGAGCATTTATGGAACATACTGGGAAAAGGAATTAAAGCATTACAGTATGCGAGCTGTTATCAATGCTCGAGGAGGCAATACACGTTATTAATTCTACCTGAGCGACGTTTAAAGCATAATCAAATAAGGTGCTATTTTTTGGTTTCTTGCAATTTGGTTCCAAAACATTATTAGTTTGTTGTTTTTCTTCTAAAATTTCTATATTTGATTTAATAATTACGAATTAGGGACCAAATTGGAAAATAAGATTATTTAAAAAAAAAATACAATTTTGCATTAATTTTGCGGAGCAGTGTATTTAATCCGCATAACTTGGTGAAAATAATTTCAATTAAACCCTGACATAAATGAAATGATTTGATTATTTCCTAAATTAAAAGAGAAAATTTTGTCTACAGTAGCGGTCATTTCTACGGAACCACTCGATAAAAAGTCAAGTTGGTAGCCCTGTCACCTAGTACTTTACGCCGAACGCGGTTGGTAGCGGTAGTTGACATGGCAATCGAAACTAGCACAACACGAATGTTTCGGTTGCCCTCAGCTATGCCGCACTGTATCCCGTGCAGACTGTATGTTCTGTTCATCTATTTATTAAAATAAAATATCTACATTGACAATGGGGCCATCTAACCTGTCAAATTTTTGACACATATGTTTTCCCCCAGAAACCCGTCAAGGTCACTTACACCAAACAAATTTTGAAAATTTACACTAGGGAGTGGTTCTATAGAAAAGATCGCGACTTTAGAAATCACTTGGCATGAGCATAATTTCACTAATGCAAATTATTGTGTTCAAGGTTATATCATATGATCCAATGTTTTCAGATAAAGGGGGCCATGACTAATACACGTAGGCTAGTCCTATTTCTTTCTGATAAATACATGTTAGCTGTCTATCTGTCATCCCCTACGTGCGCTAATCACAGCCTCCCGTTGTCTGAAAACTTTTGGATCGTACGGTAGGTACAGTGTGGGAAATTTAAAGTCGGGCAGAACTTTTTGACGACTGTAAATATGACTTTACTATTGCTTCATAAGTATAAAGAATTCTAGGAAACACAAAAATAATTCTAAAGATTGAATACATAATCACCGTGGAGATGATGAAGGTAAAATGGGTAATAAAAGCCGCGTTTACCAAAATTGATGAAAATGTTAGCTTGGTGCCCGACTTTAAATTTCCGCCACTGTACAAGATAAAATGTCAAGATTTAAAATAAATGCGAGATAAAAACAAGAAAAAGAAACCAACTTGATTATAAATTATAATAAAATTAAAACGGAGACTGCTAACTTCGATTGTCACTTTGGTAGTTAGGACATTGACATAACAAATTGTAGGACAACAGCTGTTAATACATGAATTGCTAACTGCAGAAAGGGGACAAGTCCCATTTTTTACCACAATAACATTCGTACATAATCGTGTTCTAGAGGTCTAAACACATCTTTACTGCAAAAACGGGCCATGTTTAATGATTTAGCTCGGGGCTACAAGCGGATGAAATTTACGGTTACAGCAGAAAAGGGATATGTCCAGGAGATATCGACTTTCTGCAGTAAACACCGTGGTCTCAACGTCTTGCGTTATTCTTATCCAACACGACACTCAAAAACATGTCTTACATGGTAATTTCTTGTAGAGAAGTAAGAATTTTGCAATTAAGCTACGCCCTCTTGGCTCACGACGAATAAAAAAATCATCACAATTGAGATAGGGTGGGTGGGCGGGGCTTATATTTTGCCCTTTTTTCTTAATCTCCGCAGTCATCTTTTCACAACAAAAATTTAAAACATGTTTAAAATGGTAAATTTTTGTAGGGAAATATAGATTATTCAGTGACGCTTCACTCCTCGGCCTGGAAACGAATGAAAAATTCATCATTAAACTAAGCCCCACCCACACCTGCCGCGACCTCAATAGTGGAGAAATTTTCATTTGTTGCCAGACTGGGGGGCGGAGCATAATTGCAAAATTCGTAGTTCCTACAAAAATTTACCGTTTTAAACATGTTTTAAATTTTTGTTGTGAGAAGATGACTACGTGTATTAAGTGCAAAATTAGTATAATAACTAGCAATCAGCCAGAAGAAAATGACGGATATAACAAACACTTTACGATTTATCCCAGACGCTTATAACGCATTTTGGCCGGAGATTGCTACTTGGCCAACTGTAGAACAGGAGCGCGATAATGATTAAGTTTTTTAGTGAGATATACATATAACATGTTTGTGTAAAATTATAACTGAAATAAAGCTGTTTTTTGTGTTTTTTTTACCTTTTTTTTCATTTTACTGCAAAAAGGGGATAAGTCCAAGTGTCAAATTTGACAGCCAAATTGACCCAAAAAAGAAAACATGCATTTAACCAACACTCGTTGATAACTGAGAACATAGAGAACCGACAATTGAAAACGGGGATCGGAAACAAGTAGTTGTAAAAATCTGAGACGTTTTATTCATTTCCTCAACATTTTGAAAAATGTGATATATCCCCTTTCTGCAGTTAGCAATTCACATATTGAAGCGGGGCAGCATTACAGCGAACCAGAATTGCAGTGGGTAAATATAAAATGCAATTTTTTAATTGTTTTATAAAATCATTCTGAATGTTTAAAAAAGTCTTACGAAAGCGTACAAAAGCGTGTGTTATATTCAAGAGAGCAGTAATAGAGTAAAATTTATTTTCCTTGATAATCCCATGCTGATAAAAAATGACGCATAAGCTCAATACTACGTTGTTAAGAAGGCTCTGAAGAAATCGTAAAAATGGTTAAAAAAATCCGTGAATTAAATTTTTGAAAATAGTAAACTTCAAAGCTGAAAAATTAACTTCGCAATTCTGATATGTTGTAATGTGAATTAATTGACTGCCATAAATATTTCTTACGATTGTACGTACGACTGTCCGTCTCATTATTGTTCATAAAATTTTATAGGGTAGAATGAAATTTCCAAAACTATACTTTCAGTTTATTTTCCTTTGAAACATTTGCAATTGTGTATATTTTTATTGTGTATGACATGCTATAATTTACATGTACAGTACATCTTTTTAAAAGTGGCCATAGGGATTGCCATGTTCAATTTTAGATCCCGTGTTAACTTTTGTTATGGAGAAACCCCGGAGATGATTTTTGTGGGGGAAGTATGGGTTCTACTTTAGTTTCCCACAGCGCTTTTTGTAGTAAATTGTTAATGTGTGCTTTAAAAAGTAAAAATTGTTTTGGTTAAAAAATTTAAGTACATCATAGAAGGTTTTGACTTATCATTTTGACTTGTAATTTTTCTCAGCATAATTCTAATTTAATCATTAAACACCTTTATTGCACCAGAATTTCGGTCAGTAAAAACAAGTAATCGGTGAAGTACTCGAATTTTGGAAACCTCAGATAAATGCCTGTTTTTACATGCCGGCCTACCCACAAAAATACCCAAATAATTGTTTTATATATTTTTAAGAAATATCCGTTAAATTTAAAGCATAACCTTCAATAAAATCAACAAAAGATGAGCTAAATTACATCCAGTAAAAATTGCAACTGTGAATCTCTGCTCAAAGATAACGTAGGGTACAAAATTTAACATGGAAATCCCTGTGACCACTTTTCAAAAATGATACACTGTATGTCTGACGTATTAATTTTAGGTTGAAATGATACTCAGCACAGGAATCGAATCACCAGGTGGACTCGCATGCGATTGGTTTACAAACAAACTTTACTGGACAGACACTGACACAAAACGCATCGAGGTGACAAGCATGGAAAACAAAAGACACCGCAAAACACTTTTCTGGACTGATATCGATCAACCACGTGCCATTGCTTTGGTTCCAATGAAGGGGTAAGCACAAATCTCAAAATAATTAATATTTTTTCCATTCCGAACGATCTGTCATATTCTTGTCGTTTAATAACTTGAATTATAGGAAAATACTAGTTTTCATTTCTTTACGTCTGTTAAAAATTTGTGATAAACTCGGAAATTGCCAAACTTTTAACTTTATTTTAAAACCGGCTTTTCGCACACGACTTCGTTCCCGTAGACGATTCGTTTTTTAAAATTCTGACGAATTTTTAACCAACTTCAAAAAAGAGGTTATATTCGACCCAAAAGTATTTAATATTGTCAAATGTATCGCCATAAAAATATTTTTCTCATACTAACTTTGTCACCCCGTTTCATTGTCTTGGGGGTGGAAAAAAGCTGAAATACGTGTTTCAGTATTTATAATATATTGAAGAGCATTAATACCAACTGTCACATAAAAATTTATAGTAGAAATATTTTTCCTGTACAAACTTTACCACCCCTTTTCACCCCTGTAGAGAATGAATTTCGAGAAATTCCTTCTTAAACGATGCGTCCAGTATAACATCAACATCCTCTCCAAAGTTCAAATTTCTATCATTAGTGGTTTGGGCTGGGCGTTGATATGTCGGTTAATCGGAACATTGCCTTTAATATATTAATATCACCCCAACCCACAAAGCAAAATAATCACTGACCGGCAAAAAAACTAGTCACCCTGAAATATGTATTTCGCAAAACCACTTCAAAATATATTTTAACTAGTGATTGTGTTTATTTGTCTCTTTCTTTAGTTAATATGTACATCCTGAATCTACAGTAAACGGTCCTTTAAATAAAATAGCAATCACTAGTTAATTTAATTTTTAAAGTATATATATATTGAATAAAATTAATTATTAAATTTAATTAATTAATTAAACTTAATACCAGGGGATTGTGGGTCTAGATGTTTCCAATTCAAACCAAGTTATTTGTTAAAACAAATTATAAATATACGACTGAATATCAATAAATTCATTCGTGGTCGGTTTTTGTAGTAGCGGCTTTAAACTTGATGTAAGACATTTTTCTCGTGTTTTGAAGTGACACGAATTCGTTTTCCATCTATGTTTTTACTATTTTCTCCTTTTTGGTTGTAATATAAAAAATAAGTTATATGTATAGGTAGCATATAGTGCATACTTTTTTTTATAGTTTGATGTTTTGGACCGATTGGGGCGAAATTCCCAAGATTGAACGCTCAGGAATGAATGGGGACCCAGAAACTAGAAAAGTAATCGTAAATACAAACATATTCTGGCCCAACGGTCTTACCATCGATTATGAATCTGAGCTAATTTATTGGATTGATGGGAACTTGCGATTTTTGGAGGTAATGACTTATGATGGCAGAAACAGGACTGTTTTACTAAAAACGGGTTTTGAGTATCCATTTGGATTAACAATGTTTGAAAAAAAGCTGTTTTGGACAGACTGGAAAACATGGTAAGTTGTTGTATTTTTACTATACATAGAATATGAACATGCCTTTTTTAGGTCCATACACAGTTTTGACCAGACCACGAATGCATCAAAGGAGTTAATACACTTGTCAGATTCAATTCCGATGTACATACAAGTTTATGAAAGACGACGACAACCAAAGCAATCGCATCCATGCGAAAAAAACAATGGAGGCTGTTCTCATTTGTGTTTGCTATCTCCAAATCCACCGGGTTATTCTTGCGCATGCCCCGTTGGAATTAAATTAATAGATAATTTAACTTGTGCTGAAGGACCGCAACAACTGCTTTTGTTAGGCAGAAGGACTGACATTTATCTAGTTCACCTCGATTCTCCAGACTATACACACATAACGCTACCTCTTAGTGATGTAAAGTACACAATTGCTGTTGACTTTGATCCAGTAGAACGTTACATTTACTGGTCGGACGATGAAGTAAAAAAAATACAAAGGGCCAGACTTAACGGTTCCGATCAACAGAACGTTGTTACCAATGAAATCGAGCATCCAGATGGCATAGCAGTTGATTGGGTATCAAGGAATATTTATTGGACTGATGCTGGGACTGATCGATTGGAGGTATGCCGATTGCACGAAAAATACAGACGAGTAATCATTTTTGATGATTTGATGGAACCAAGAGCAATTGCGGTAGCACCTCAGTTGGGGTGGTTATTTTGGTCCGATTGGTATGAGAAAAGTCCAAAAGTGGAAAGAGCGAATCTCGATGGGTCTGAAAGGAAAAAGATAATAACTAAAAATTTGGGTTGGCCAAATGGTATTACATTGGATTTAAATAACCAGAGACTGTATTGGTGTGACGCAAAGCTTGATAAAATTGAGTATTCTGATATGGATGGTAATCATAGGATGGTTTTGATTAACGATAATGTACCGCATGTATTTGGCTTCACTTTAATGGGAGATTTTTTGTATTGGACAGATTGGCAGAGGAGGAGTATTGATCGAGCCAACAAAGACACAGGTAATTATTTGTTTTTGTCTGTGAATCATAAATTGCAACTACACATTGTATTTGTATACATCCATTTGTATTCTTATATGTAGCATTTTACGATCAAACCACGCTAAATTTCTATTTAAACATATGTTTAATGAAGTTTGTACGTTAGTATACTATATAGATGAACTGGTTTGATCTTAATATGGATTTATCTCTGGAACTACATACAAAATACGCATGTTCAATGGTAATCCCAGTTTTACACATAAATATGTAGTCTAAATTCCAATCAACATTAAGTATTTGAAGAAGTCTTGAAAATCTAGTGTGAGTAACAATTTGCAATCGTTCAACTAGCCTAAATTACGTTTACTGTTGATGAATGTAAAATCGGCTGAAGAAAGTTAAACGTCGAATTAATTTTTACTTTCCGAGTGTGGGGTAAGGAAGTACTGTACGAGGCTCTATCGGACGACTGGTTACTTTCATGTTTTCTCGATCTTTCATGACCCCTTGAGTAAAAAAAATAGGTCTCCCTTTTCCGTCTTTCTGATATCTGGAGTTTTTTTATTAGAGGATAATCTTCGAAATTAGGGGACCGATTGTTGTCAGATTTTACATGTGGTAGGAATATCGTATAGATCAGGGCTTCCCAAACTTATTTGCACTGTGGCGCCCTTGGGACTTCGTAATTTTTTTACGACGCCCCTCAACCCAGCCCCCAAAGATACTTACCAATTTCAGTACTAGCCTAGTAACAGGTTATCAGAAAAACACTATTTGGACATAAATCATTTTTGTTAGAAAATAAGAACAAAATCAAAACATAAGCATAAAAATAAAAAGAGATATTTATCTAACTGACTGGCTAATGAGAAGGATATGCTTGCTTTTCTGAGCATAGCTTCTGAAACCGGGGCTCCAGTTTGGAAATTGCCTCTCCCATTTCTTTCTCTAAGTCTATTTTTGACCTGTACTTGTTCTTTATTACTGCAAGTGCAGAAAGGTCTGTTGCGCACAAGTACGAAGTCGCAAATGATAATAAAACCTTTAATGCTGCAGTGCTGATGGCACGATATTCATGAGAAACTGAGCTCCAAAATTCAAACAGTTTGTCCTTGTATTGAAGCTTTAGGTTGGAATTACAGGACAATTTCATTACTTCTTCTTCCTCTATTGAAAGTGTCGATGGTGTGGGCGACTGGAAAAGGTCTCTTACCCAGTCATATTGCTCCAGATTATCAGGAAAATATTTTTCAAAGTGTTCGCTTAATGATAGCAAGTGCGGTCGCATCGACACGCGACGCCCCTGTGACAATGCCGCGACGCACAGTTTGGGAAGCCCTGGTTTAGATGATTAAACGCTAACCAAAATGTGTTTGATCATGCCCACCAATATTGAGGTGAAGTTATCTCCAAATTTTACAATAAATTTTAGAAAATAACATACTACTGCACTTGTGGTTTATGAACACGTTTTGCAATTTTGCAGACGTTTTAAAGTTACCGTAAGCATAGTAAATTTGTAATCAAAATATATCTGTTTCTACCTTCCAAAAAATTAATCATGTCATTTCAAAATTTTGCCGAATAAATCCTATCGAAAATTTACAAAGTATGTTAAAACTATACGTGTGATTTATCATTGTATTCATATTTTATAGAATTGCTTATACAGGATAGCATTAAATTTCAAAGCTTATTTGGTACAATTTGATGTACTATTTGATTTTCATAGGTGGGCATAGAGAAGTGATTCTTGATCAAGTAGCCAATGTAATGGGACTAAGGGCAATAAACTTGACCGATGTATCTGGAAGAAATCTGTGTTACATTAACAATGGTGATTGTTCACAATTTTGCTTCTACCGACACAACAGAACAAAAACCTGTGGATGTGAATTAGGCTATGAACTTGGAAGCGATGGTCGTACATGTGTTAAACCAGAAATTTTTCTTCTCTACACTAAAAGAAACCAAATTGGGATGATTGGAATCGAGAATCCTAACAACGATATCGCTGTACCAGTTACCGGAATTAGTAACTGCAGGTATATTTTATTGATTAAGTTTGTATCAAATTTGAAACTGTGCTCTTCTAGTTCCGTAGATTACGACATCAATACGATGTCTGTATATTGGAGTGATACTGCAACTCGAACCATCATGCGTGCATTTCTTAATGGTTCAAATCCACAAAAAGTAGTTGATGTGGGTTTAGCATCTCCTGAAGGGATTGCTGTTGATTGGTTAGGTCTAAACATTTATTGGACGGATCCGTACGCCCAGCGAATTGAAGTAGCACGATTACCTGGATCAAGTAGAAAAACCTTACTATGGGAGGGGAAAGTTAACGATCCGCATAGTATAGTTCTGGATCCTCCGAATGGGTATTTGAATTATATAAGCTTGATGAGTAGTCAGTAATACATAAAATTTTAGTCAAATGTATTGGTCTGAATGGGGGGCCTCAAAATCCATTAAAAAGAGTGCTATGGATGGGTCAAATATTAAAAAACTGATAGCCACCAAAGGGTATGCTACACAATTAACGTTCGATTATAGTCACAGAAGGTTGTATTGGATTGAGATCAATTCAGCGGAAATTATGTCAGTAGATTTAAATGGGAATGACGCAAGGACAATCAAAGAAGTGTTCAGACCAATTAGTTTAACCTTATATAAAGACTTTCTTTATTGGAATGACAATGACACCGGTAAGTTATCCCTTCAGTGGTTGTAAAATTTTAAATACTCAAAAAAATTTTTTAAGGTGAACTTATAAGAGCAAACAAATTCAACGGTTCAAATCGTCAAATCATTCACAAAAATTCTTTCAACATTACCGATATTCAAGTTTATCATCCTGAACTTTATGGTTCAAATCAATGTACTGCTAGTAATGGCGGTTGCAAACACTTATGCTTAGCTTTGCCAGCAGATCTCCCAGAAAAAGGTGCCAAGTATACCTGTGCTTGCCCTACACATTATTCTCTCGTTAATAACGAATGTGTTCGTAAGTACGGCTTACTTCATGTAATACTTATAGTTAAAAATTTTGGCTTGTAGCTCCAGAAAATTTTATGGTTTATACACAAAAAAACCTAACAGTACGTGTGTTGCCTAGTCCTGCCGGTTGTTTGGAAGCTGTGTTGCCAATACAGGGGTTGAAATGGATAAGAGCGATTGCTTTTGATCCATTGGAAAGGTTTCTGTATTGGGTAAGTAAAAACTTTTAACAATAAGATATTTTTTAATTCCAATTATCACTGCAGATTGAAGGTAAAACACATTTAATTAAGAGAGCCGACAGTAGCGGTACTTTAATCACAACTGTAGTATATGGGACTAAAGAATTGCAGCCATACGATCTAACTATCGATTCTCTAGGACGTCTATTATTTTGGACTTCTTCTCAAGATGTTATTAACGTAACGCGTTTAGATAACAACACACAATTTGGTGTTTTAGTAAAAACGGAGAAAGAAAAACCAAGGTTGTTAGCCATACATGAAACAAAGAGGTTTTGTTCTTATTGTACTGTTTCGTTTTTAACTTTTAAAACAATTTATTGTAGGTTACTTTTCTATACTGACGTTGGTCCATTGCGTCAGTTAGTGAGAACAAGACTGGATGGTACTCATCATATAGTAATTACCAAAGATGCAGACATCGCAGCGATTGCTGTAGACGCAGAAAACGATTTAATTGTTTGGAGCCAGGGACAAAGCGTTTATATGAGTAATATCGAAGGAGCAAATCAGTAAGTTAATATGTTGGAATAAGCTATTTTTTTTATAGATTAGATAGGACTATAGATTTTATTTAATATTTGTTGCTTGTTGAAGAAAAATCAAATTGATTGTGCAATATATTGCATGCTTGATACAATCATAATTTATTGACAAATTTATAACATGTCGTTGAACGATATATTACACACTTTCTGCAGTAATGTTCTGTTTGACCAAGGAAATCACGTACTTTAAAAAAAATAATCAATTTTATCAGGTTCTATACAAACATATCTAAAATTATTTACTCAAAACTTCCCTTGCTCTTGAAGTACAGTCCAAACAGCTTTTTCGAAAAATTTTAATTATTCGGGGAATTATAAAATTTGAATTTGTGAATTTTATTACTTTCCAAGCGTAATCTAAGGAAGTATTGTAATCAAATCCATCGGGTGACATTGAAATAGGGACAACCGTGTGTTTCGAATAAGCATCGATTTTTTTTGTGGGTACCATAGGGTGGTAGGCCGTGAGTGTAACACCGTGTTTTCGTAGCTGGGAGTGCTATCATTCGGTCGTAATTCTGAAAAGAAGAAGAGTGCAATTGGTGTTTTTGATTGGTCTCTGTAACCGTGAATCTGACAATATTTCTAAAATAAGTTTTTGCGTCTGAATAGAATACCAATCAGGTCTGGAAGCAACGAAGCTCTCTTTGACAATTTAAAAGTAAAAGTGAAATCCTCCAAACAAAAAGAAAAACATTACGTATTAATGTTTGATGAAGTCATGATTGAACACACATATCACCTAACACGAATACCAGGGAATTCAAAAGATTTGAAGATTTTGGCGATGTTAAAACTGGAAAGATGGCGGACCGAGCGTTAGTTTTTCTGATTAAAGGAATTACATGGGGGTGGAAGCAACTTATTATGTACACATTTTCCAACGGTGCTGTCACAACAATGGATTTAGTACGACGCGACGTATAAAAAATCTAATAATTAATTAGCTGCCAAAAAGCAGAACTAAAAGTGATTTCAACTATTAGTGATTAGGATATTAACAATCAAGCTGCTATCAATTATTTAATAAAAACTACAGTTAAAGAAAATTCTTATTTTGGGAGAACCATAAAATACTTTGTCATTGATAACCAGAAAGTTTACATATTTACGATTCTCCCACCTCTTCAAAGGGGTTCGAATTAATTTGTTAAAATATTATTTAGTTTAGAACCATTGCAATAAAAAATTGATTGCAAAATGGGGATCAGTAAATACATAATATGAATTTATTTTTGCTGATATTATGCGGGGGTCATTTATATAACGCAAGAATATATTCCGACCCCATATAGATCCTTGTGGAATTCCATGTAATATCGAATTTTGCGTATTATAGTATGTTATTTACCTCCTATCTGATAAGTGATTTAGAATAAGTATAAGGGAGGGACGTGAAAATTTATTTAATTTTTACTTTCTAAGCGTAATCTAAGGAGATATTATAATAAGGTTCATCCGACGAATCGTTGCTTGCAGATTTTCTTCACGTTTTATGACCCCTAGATGTCTGTTACTGTCGTCTGCGTCAATTTTTATTAGACAGATAATAATCTGCGAAATTACTAACATGTATGTCAGAAATATCTATACGGTAAAATGCTAATCAAAAGTTGTCTTATCATCGCCACCAACAATGGATGACGTCATCACCAAATTTTATAATAGTAAATATTATTTAAATTTTATAAAATAAGATGCTCCTACACTTGTGGTTTAAGAATGAGTTTTTACCTTAGACATCCAGATTTTTTGAAAAATTAGTAATTCCATTGCACCTATTAAAATTGATATACGAGTACGTGTTCGTGATAAAATATTGATGACGTCATTACAAAATTTTGTAACAGAAAAAATCACTAGAAACAAACACATAACATGCTCCTTTACCTACACTTTAACAGCCCACATATGTATTTTTTTTATTTTGACTTAACAAGGTTTATGTTTAAAAAATAAAATTTGTCAAATTAAATTTTATAATTTTTCGAAGAATGCGTATTTTTTCGACTATAGAGATGGTAGTGGATTTTCTCACGAAACGCGAGCTGCGTGAAGGAGGATCTAAATAATGCCGGGAAATTAAAAAAAAAACATTTTACGATGCATTCCGAAAACATCGCGTGCACAACAAGACAACCACAGGAAGCTACGAGGGCAATGTTTTTAGATGCGGTAGTAGCTACACCTATTTCCATTTGAGTTTCTGCGCGCATGACCTTCGGGTTCATGAGAAAAACCACCACCTCTACTTTGTAGTCGTGCGAAGTTCTGTCGAAATAACCTTCGACCTGTTTTTTAGTAAAATATTGGACGATGCTTTTGACAAATCACAAAAATTCATCAACAATTTTCCGTTTCTAAATTGCTCAACAATATAATTAACCAATTCTCGTGTACCTGCTATTGTGGACCTACCAAAGAATATTAACAAGAACGACCAAGAAGTGACACTCTTACGGACGAGAAAAAAGTGATTTCTACTGCGCAAGTTCACCAAAATGTGTAGTAACGCTTAGCCCTGTAACATTCGTTGATTTTGGAGGTTAGGTTGGATTTAGACTAATAAGCACCCCATCAAAGATCAAAAGCGTCGACACAAATGTCACTTCTTGTTCATTCTTGTTAATATTCGTTGCATCTACAAGCTCGAAAATCAAATTGCATTGAAAAAAAGATGTTTTTCCCAAACGTAAGCGAAGGAAGTATATATGTATGACCCCTAGAGCTCGAAGAAATAGCTCTCCCGTTTTCCTCTATCTGTGCATCTGTCCGCGGTCCCCCGCCTGTGTCGATTTTTGTTAGAAAGATAATATGTTACTACCGGACCGATTGTTGTCAAGTAGTGCTACACGTGTAGTTTACTGAATCCGTGTTGAGTTTTTATCCGAGACATCCAGATTTTTAAAATTGTAGAACATTTGGCAATTTAATTTTGAATCTGCTAAACCGAATGCTTTAAAATGTTGCAAAACCCCCCACACCCCACACACCCCCAAATGATGGCGTCATCTCAAAATTTTGCCGAATAAATCCTATCTATAATATATATCTACCTTAGTCTATACTCGCGATGTATCATTCCATTCATATTTTTTAGAATTGCTTGTACAGTGTGACTCAATAAAATTAATGAATGGGTCAATTTATTAAATCAGGATCCATTTTCCCGAAAATTAGATAGTGCAAAACTGTATTTATTAATATTATACTACCTATCCAATTTGAAATATCTCCTTGAAAAATGTTGATAACGTCCTCACAAAGTTTTGTACTTGAAAAACTAATTTGAAGCCTACGTATAGCACGCTTTTACATTTACTTTAACGTTACATACATATTTTTATGTACGGGTTCTCTTAAAAAAAAATCGCAAACTCAAAATTCGAAAAAGCTGGATGTTTTATTGTACTTCAGATGCGAGGGAAGTTCTGTCAAAATAATCTTCGACCAACTTCTATTAATCGTATAAATTATTTCTTAATTCACAGAGTAGTCCTTGTAAACGACACTACCACCAAAGCGACGCAACTAACTATCCTCTCTGGCTGGCTTTACTGGATCGATCGTGAGTTCCAGCTTCAAAGAGTAGAACTCCAATCCGGAAAACAAAGTTCTCCCCTATCACTTCAAGCATCTCACATCGTGGATTTAATCTCCGTATCGAAACCTGATCCAAACCACTCGTGCTCCCACCGCAACGAACGAAAATGTTCGCATTTATGTATTATGAACGGCACAAATTCTGTGTGCGCCTGCCCACAAGGACACGTTCTAAAAGAAGACAAAACAACATGTGCAGCATTGCAAAAGTGCAGTCGAGATAAATTCACGTGTGCGACAATTTCGGGTGACCATGAGATCTGCATTCCAATATCGTGGCGATGCGATGGAGAAAAAGACTGTCAGGACAATTCAGATGAATTACATTGTCCTGAATGTTCAAAAGATCAGTTTCACTGTAAAGATGGTTCGTGCATAAGTTTGCATAACGTGTGTGATGGTACTGCACATTGTGCCGATCATTCAGACGAAGAGTCGTGCTGCAGAGACGGTTTCAAATGTGCAAATACACGTGGGTGTCTGGCTGCACATTTGGTTTGTGACAAAGTCGAGAACTGTGCGGATGGCTCTGATGAGGATCCAACATTTTGCAGTAGTGCGAGTAAGCTGAAGGCATCGTCCAATGGATTGATTTGGACTGGGTTGGGAGTATCGCTGGGTGTATTTTTTGTTGGGATTGTTTTCTGCTGTTATTTGAAGAAGATGAGGTCGAACGAAGATTTTAACGATCAATCGGAAGATGACTTGAGTCCGATGCAGCCGAAACCACACATCAAAATACGAAAAGGTAAATTCGCGTATCGAAGTTTTTCAAGTATTGTCACGTTTTGAAACTGAAAATTTTATATAACTTCTATCAACCGCATTGGAAAGATTAAAAGCATTTTCGCACTCCTTTTTATTTATGGATCGTAACTAAATAAAACAACAATAAATACACAATTTTTGGTGTACTACAGTAAAACCTCTCCACAACGGACACCCATATTGAATCTCAAAAATTGTCCGCTCTCAAGAGGTTTCAAGACACGAGTTAAAGAACGCAGTACATTTTAACATGTACTTGTAAACGACAAGTACATGTTAAAAGATATATATAATGTAGGTACATCCATATCATGGCCGACTAGTATAAAGATTATGGCCTGTCCAAAGGTACCATACGTGCTGCCATCTATTAATAATTCAAAAACGACAAAAGAATTATAAACACTTTTTGAAAGCCACAAAGGCATTCATACCGAAAGAAACCACCATTACACGTTTTGAAGTCCCATAATGTCAAGTCAAATTAAAATTTTGCTAAATTATTAAGTGTAATTATTAATAGATGGCAACACGTATGGTACCTCTTGGACAGGCCATAACCTTTATACTAGTCGGCCATGATCCATGTATGCATTTTATTCAATATTTTATTATTTATTGCTACATACATATTATTTCTTTGTATAATATAATATTTTTTTCGTCTTTTAAATTTCTGGAACTTGCGTTTTACCAACGGCGAATTTTTCTGATAGTCGCCGAATGCTTAATTTAAACTTCTCGGTGGTGTTGATAAGTGATTTCAATTTTTTCACTAACACTTAAAAATTTTCTTTGTATAGCGGCCATGTTACACACTTTAACGTAAACGTTCAGTGAATAATGTTTTCTAAGTTCATTCACACTTGACAAACAAAACCACCCCAGCTTTGCTATTTTGGAAAAATTCATTTATTATGAGCGGTGTGGGGTTGAAGAAAGTTATAACATGTTACCGAGAATCTGTTGGCCTAATCTTTAAATTTTATTGTAGGGTCTAATCTCGGGAGCGCTTTACCTATTACCTGTCCGTTGTGAAGAGGTAATTTTACAATAAAATAACTAAAAATGCGGCAATTTTACATTGTATGACCTATTTTATACGTTGGGACAGTGAAAATTGTCTACTGTGGAGAGGTGTCCGCTGTTGGGCGGTGTCTGTTGCAATAAGTTTCAGTGTAAAAAACATTTTACAAGGGAAAAGTTAAGTAGCCTAAGCTTTCAAATACGTAAAAATGATAAATTGCACTCACAGTTGAAACTTTGCAGTCGCCAAACGGCTAGCAGTCGTATAAGAGGTACCCATAATACAATAATTCCTAGGTAAAGTTTGTCCAGAATTATAAGAATTTTATGGACTCCCAACGTTAATTCGTTTTACAACACTGTCGTCAATTCTATTGTACAGGTAAAGAGCCTGTCAGGAGAAAGCCATGTTTTCTGTACCTGAGTTCGCCACGCTCTTCAGCTGTACAATAAAATTGACAACAGGGCTGTAAAACGAAGTAACTTTGAGAGTCCATAAAATTCTTATAATTCTAGACAAACTTTATGATCCTCGTGTCGCTAAAAACCCGTCGACTTCGCGCAGCGATGTCACGTGGTGAGAAGGAATCAAATGAATTACATTGGAGATACGTTGAAATCAGCATAAGGAAGTTTTTTTTTTCACTTTTTTCATCTAAAATAAATATTAATTATTCCTATTAAAAATAATGAAGAAAGTAAGTTCTCTTCACTATTCTTTCTTAAATTAAACAGAAAAATTAAATTAATGCAAACTGTATTATTAGAGAAGCTGATTACGGCAATTGTTATTATAATAAATGGGCCTAATAATTAATACAGGGTGGTTCACGAGTAATAGTCTAAATAAATTTGAAACGCAACCCAAAATACATTTTCACTACTATCTTGGATATTATTATAGTTACAATTGGAGCATTAAACATAGTAACCTTAACACTTGTCAAATGATTTGACAAAAACTTCAAATTCAAAGATAAAAACACGTGGCGACCATTTAGAAGAAAAAATTACAGAAGCAATAAGAGCTATTACACCCGAGATATGTATTAATGCGTGTTAAAACATCCTTCTGGAATAGGATTGACGCATGTGGGAGAAACATGGGTCAACACTTCGAACATGTATTGCATTAGTAAAAAATAAAACGTGTTTTTATCTTTCAATTTGAATTGATAAATTTGTTTTACTGTTTTAAAAAATGGTGTGAAATATCAAAAATGGTTTTGGAACTGTGTCTTGAGTTTTTTAGGCGCGGAGCATCTCGTAAATAACCCTGTATAAACGAAACGACGAAAATGCTAAATGTTAGAAAGCAAAATGCAGAGTGCGAATGTTTTCAAGACAGTCTGGAATAGTTACGTCGTACATACACACACCCGTTGTTGGGGATATTCGGATGAGTTTGAACGGATTTGAGTTTGTGCGCGGCTCAGTGTCACGACCTATGAACCTGTTCAAACTATTCTACGAGCATTGAGAATTACGTGTTTCTCAAAATATGAGAGTCTGAAAAATGCTCGAAAAGTACTCGTAAAGGACATCTAATTATTGCATAATTCTTATCTGTACTTCAGGTATCCCAGACGTAGTTCGAATGTCTATGGTTACTGGAAGTGAAACAAGCTATGATCGAAACCATATCACAGGTGCCTCCAGTAGTACAAACGAATCAAGCCTGACATGTTACCCACGTGAACCTCTAAACCCTCCTCCGAGTCCGGCGACAACAAGAGGAAGCAGTCCCTCATCCAGATATCGGCCCTACAGACATTATAGATCAATTAATCAACCACCTCCACCAACACCCTGTTCGACTGATGTTTGTGACGAAAGCGACTGCAATTATCCGACGAGGAGTAGGTATGACGGAGGGCCATTTCCCCCACCTCCAACGCCAAGATCTCATTGCCATAGTGAAAGTTGTCCACCGTCCCCAAGTTCGAGGTCATCGACCTACTTTAATCCTTTACCACCACCCCCATCGCCGGTGGCGTCACCACCGAGGGGATATGATTCGTAATTTGTGGTTGGTGGAAAAAATGCTGTCTAGAAATTTTATTAATTATTTATAATTAAGTTGTTTTTCTGGACGAATTTTCATCTACCACATATTGTTCACATTGTGCCTAACTAATTTATAAATATTTTTATGTACATAAATTTTAAAGACTAATGATTTATACTCGATACGTATGTCTAACTAAATATATGACATTATTCTTTTATTGTGTGTACAAAAATTGTTTACGTTAAAGGTGTTTCATTTCTAAAGATAGCAAGCGAAAAAGTCTCAGCTTTATTAACAAGAAGAGTTTCCCTTTTGTAAGCGTGTACTAGGAAGTTTATGTGGATACCCAGAATTTGGTAAATGTGGATTATGAGAATTGATGGAAAATTTTGTGATCAAAAGGGTTTCATACATAGAAATAATATTATATGGAAGTAACTTAGAGAGAGACGCGCATTGCCAACACAGTGGGACAGAGATAGGGCTATCTGGGTGGCAAAACATTGACGCGAAACTGCAGAGCACTGTGTTTCTGGAGGATTCTTTATGGTTTTTTTCGTGCTGTCGCATGGTGTTTGAAGGTGTGTTTGCAAATTTTCGTTTTTTAGGCTCAAGTTACCTTATTAAAATGACTACTCTTCGTAAGATTTATTTTATCGGACTATTTGTTAAACATGGTGAAATCGTATTGTGCGTATAATTGCATAGAACGTGCAAAGAAAGCAATCCTGTTTCATTTCATAGGTAATAGTCACCTATATAGACGAAGGACTTCGTAATTATAATTTAAAAATTTTGTTAGATTCAATAAACATTCCGAGTTACCAAAAAAATGGATTATTGCTACAAAAAGAGGTAATTTTTTATCTATTGAATTATTGTTTTAATTATTTGTACGTGGATTTAGAAAATCGATTTTACTAGAAAATTCACACAATATAGTATGTTTAATTTAATTAGGCACCTTGTCACTTATCGAAGGTTTAATTACTTTTATCCTAAAAATTTCAGATGTACCAATGAACATACACTACAAGATTAGTTAACTTGTAGAACATTATCGTATTAACTGAATTCGTAATATATTGTACATTCTGTACACATTTCATTTTATTAAAAGACTATCTCCAACACTGCACCACTTAACATGATTTTTGTTATTTCACATTACATATAATTTTAATGTAAACTGTAAAAATATAGTTTTCATTAACAAACGTTTGTTATAATTAATTGTTTGAACAAATTCGTAAGAAAACGTATTAATTCCCGTTCAAATGAAGCGTTTCTTGCCACCCAGCACGTGATACGTGGTCAGCCATCCTTTACCCACTGATGCATAACCGCTGTAGCTATTTCTTTCTTGTGTTGATTACATTCGCTCGCGTATAGAAACGTATACAAGGTTCCATCCAGTCCTTTATTAGATCAATGGTTTCATATGATTTAACTTTATTTATCATAGATCTAAAAAAACAGTTAAGACATGTAATTTCGCTTATCTACACCAGTTCTGAAAAGTATTATGGAATGCATTGTCTTCAAATTTTGAGCAGTGGCTGATGTAGATGTTATTCTGAGGGTCCCGTCTGATCTGATTTCGTCCTGCCTTAAATCCACGGAAAACATCGTGGAAATTTCAGAAGTTGCATTTTATAAATACGCTGTAATGTATATTTACTAGAGATGTACCGACTGTAGGTCTGGCCGACTAACCGACTAACCGATTGTTCGGCCAGTAAAAACCGACTAGTCGGCCGACTGTTCGGCAATCGGCTTTGCTAAAACCGGTTTATAAATGCGACAGACAGTGTGTTTTTTTTTTCTATTTCTCTGACTACCTTAAAAATTTGTTTTATTTTAATAAAAGGAATAACTAAAGTTCCTGTGTTTTCCAAAAAATGTGTTAAATTTGTTTGGATAATTTTAACATTGAATTTTTTTTAGTAACTCAGTACAAAAATAAAGAATAACACAATTTAGGGCCAGTTTATACAATATTTTAACTGAGATTAAGTTGATCGCGCATTCAACAAGGCCATTAGCGACGTCTGATTGGCGTAGAGTCGGTCACATGGTACTTTAACGCGGGGTTAAAAATTAAATCGCAATTAAATATTTAATTGAGGTTCTGTAAACCGGGTTTAATTGTTTTATATACTATTTTAATTTTAATAAAAAAAGCCGACCGATTGGCTGTTTAGCCGACCAGTCGCCGACTGCCAGCCGACGATGAAAAACGGCCGAATAGTCGGCTTATCCGACCGGTCGGCCACTAGTCGGTACATCCCTAATATTTACTTAAAAAATTATGTTTCGCATAAACGAACTTAAGTCCAGGGGACCTACACATTTATATTCAAATCTGGTTTGCATTTTTACTTCCCGAGCGTAAGCAAAGGAAGTATTGTAATCGAGTCCGTCGGCCGACTCTCTACTTTTACGTTTTCTCGATCATTCATGACCCCTAGAAGACGAAGAAATAGGTATCCCATTTCCGTCTGTCTACCGTCCCGGATTTTTATTAGACAGATAATCTCCGAAAGTACTGGGCCGATTGTTGTGAAATTTTGTACTTATATTGGGAATATCATGTAGATGGTAAAACGCTAACCAAAATTTGTCTAATCATCCCCACCACTAATGCGATGACGTCACTTCAAAATTGTACATAGTAAATGGGTCTTAAATTGTATAAAATAACATAGTCCTACACATGTAGTTTACGACTCCGAATTCAGTTTTTACCCGAAACGTCCAGATTTTTGGAAAAAAAATCAAAATTATAAAACAACATTTTGCAATTTAATTTTAATCTGCTAACCCGAATGTTTTCAAATGTTGCAGATGTTTTAAGGCTATAAAGAGCATCATAAATCTTTAGTCAAAATATATTTGGTTGTCCCCTCCAAAAACTTGATGACGTCAGCTCAAAAGTTTGCCGAATAAATCCTATCTAAAATGTACAAAATATGATGCGTCTGTACTTGTGATATATCACTCCATTCATATTTTTTGGATTTGCAAATACAGGGTGACTCAAAAAAATTAATGAATGCGCAAAATTTATTTTACTGATTTACTCAGGAACTACAAAACCGAATGCTTTGAAATCTTGAAGATGTTTTAAAATTATCATAAGCATGGTAAATTTTTGATCAAAATGTATTTGGTCGTCCCTTCTAAAAAATTTATGACGTCACCACAAAATTTTGCTGAACAAATCCTATCTAAAATGTACAAAATATGGTGAGACTCTTCTTGTGATTTATCATTCCATTCAAATTTTTTCGATTTGCATATACAGGGTGACTGAAAAAAATTAATGAATGCGTCAATTTATTTTATTAATTTAATCAGGAATTACAGAACCGAATGAATGCTTTGAAATCTTGGAGATGTTTTAAAGTTATCATAAGCATGGTAAATTTTTTATCAAAATGTATTTGCTCTTCCCCCCTAAAAAATTGATGACGTCACTCCAAAATTTTGCTGAATAAATCCTATCTAAAATGTACAAAATACGATGAGTCTGTACTTGTGATTTATCATTCCAATAATATTTTTTGGATTTGCATATACAGAATGACTCAAAAAAATTAATGAATGCGTAAATTTATTTTATTGATTTAATCAGGAATTACAGAACCGAATGCTGTGATATCTTGGAGATATTTTAAAGTTATCATAAGCATGGTAAATTTTTTATCAAAATTTATTTGCTCATCCCCCCCCCCTAAAAAATTGATGACGTCACCCTAAAATTTGGTAAATAAATCCTATCTAAAATGTGAAAAATATGATTAGTCTGTACTTGTGATTTATCATTCCATTCATATTTTTTCGATTTGCATATACATATACAACATAGAGAACTGTCATATTTGGTGGCGTGAGTGAGTGTGTTCGCTGTAGTGTCTCTTTTGATTTAAAGTGCTCAATCTATGGTTTTTTCTTGGTTTAATTGTGTTAAATTAGAGGAACTGTCTTGGTTTGGTGTTTCACGTTCGACACCCCCATCCTGGGGGGTGGTGAGTAAGCCTTAACCGTGATTTTTGATCGATTTATCGGGTTGAAATTCGCTACAATCTTATCAGTGGTTCTTCGTCGAGTTCTTATTGCTTTTCTTGTCCCTATTATCTGGTCACCGTTCACCTGCTAATAATAAGCATGCCGGTCAAATGTGGGAAATGCAACCGTAATATTACTCGTAATGAGAATTACATTTCATGTAAATCCTGCAAACTGAATTATCACCCTGATTGTGTCGGTATTGATGATGATGACTATGACCTTCTTCAAAGCCAGGGCAAACTTACAACATGGAATTGTAGTTTTTGTTTAATAATTCCTATGTCCGATAATAATCCTGATCACAAATCTGCAAAAATGAGACCGTTGCCTTTTACCAGTGAAGCTAATTTATCATCTAATGCCCTAAAAGAGATAGATATGATCGTGTCCAGTCACGTTAAACCATTATTAAATATAATTGAAGCACTGCAAACATCAGTTAATAATTTATCTAAAGAAAACTCAGACCTACGCGGTGAAATAACCAAATTAAATAAGTGTGTGAATCTAACCAAAGCTGAGGAGTTCACTAAACCCACAGATCCTGAGGAATTAGATGCTAAAATCTCATATTCTAATATAACGAAGAAAAACTCGCAAAAAACTTTAATAGTGAAACCAAAAGATGATAAGCAGCGTTCGTCTAAAACTAAATTTGATGTTATGAATAACATTAACCCCTTAACTGACATCAATATCGGTAAAGTGAGAACGTTAAGAGATGGGGGCATTCTTTAAAAGTGCGAAAACTCTAGTAATTTTAACCAGATTGCAAAAGATAAATTGGCGGAAAAATATGAGGCTCGTGAGGTAAAATCAGCTTGCCCTAAAATTAGAATCTCTGGTATTCCTAATTACATAGATGATAAAGATTTTCTTCCTTATCTTAGAAAACAAAATGAATTTTTATTTGACCGAAAATCAGTCTGCAATCTGTTAAAATTCTGCCCTACAAAAAAAAATAATTCCATTTTCCAGGCCCTTCTTGAAGTTGATTTATCAACTTACAAAAGAGCAATAAGCGTTGGTCATTGTTTAGTTGGTCTGAACGGATGCACTATTTATGACGCTGTAGATGTTACACGATGTTTTAATTGCAATGCATTTGGGCATTCGAGCAAATTCTGTAAAAACAGTCCATCA